ATTTCAAAATCGAACAGAGCATTTAAATCTTATCAAATCATATCATTTCAAAGTTTAACAATCACATGTCAAAATACTATTTATCAAATAAGTGTAAAACATTTTCAATAACAATAATCATATCTTGTAAGAATGAGATCATCTCAAATAATCTTTTTAGTATCATATCCGGTAAAAGACTTGTCCCATATGCAAGTTCAAAATATTCTTTAACACATTTAGTTTATAAACCATGTGAAAATCATGAAAGTTATAAAACATCAATTGTGGTTAAGTATTATTACTCACTGAGCTAGCGTCTCACTCCTCGCTAATTGTTTTTACAGAGAACTCAGGTGGTATTGAAGAGGATTTCATTAACTAGCGTAAGATTTGGTAGCATCGGGTGAGCCCCGCATTGCTTCTCCTGGCAAGAGAAATATTGATTTTCTATGTTTATTTATTTTATTTTAAAAACTCTTAGAGTCGTTCCATTTTTCATTCCTTTGATTTGAGTCAAGATTACTCCTTCAAATTGTAGTCAAGTGACTAGTTTGGAACTTTTTTTGTAATTTGGAGATGATTTGGTTTTATTGCGTGACAATTAGATCATTGATGGATATTATGTTGTGGTTAATAGTTGCTATTAGTTGTGTTGTGAATTTCTGAGACAGGAAAATTCAGGATAGGCCTAAAAACAAAGGAAACTCTGTTCGATTTTCTGTAGAATTCTAGTAAGGCTTGCTTTGGGATTCTCCCCCTTAGCGCCGGTCATGTTCGTAACTTAGGTCGTGACAAAGTTGGTATTAGAGCACTAGGTTATTCTTATGACTTGTGGAGCACACATTAGTAGTAGAATCTCAATTATGGTTATGTTGCCGGCCATTTCTATAATTGTGATTCTGCAAGGACGTGATAGGATGTGTCTGGTCTTTCTTTCTCTTTCCTACTTATGTGTGTGACGTGTAGGGCCAACTGGATTAATCTAACATTATTTGTTTCTGTTAACCAGATGGCTGGATCCCGATTATCTAATGACAGAGCTATGACGGATGTTCTGAGGCACCTAATGTCACTACGGTTAGGCAACCAACTTCCTTAATTTGGGGAAGGACAGAGCTCGCAGAATTGGTCGAGGTAAGGGCCGTAATGCCATCAAAGGGAACCGTAACACCACTATTGGAACTTCAAGAGAGGTCACTCTGGAAAGGAGCGCTAGTCCACCTCCATCATCACTGGAGAATGCTACTAGTGGGGTACTTGCCTCCATGCAGAAAGCCATAGAGAGTTTGGTCAATAGAATGGATAGACAGGAGAGGGATGGTCGGCATAATGTTGCTACTACTCAGATACATGCACCACTTAAGGCACCCACACATACTTATACTTTTGGGAATAAAGAGGTATCATTGCAGGAATTCTTGAAATTGAAATCACCAAAATTCACAGGTTCTGATAGTTAAGCTGATCCTCAAAGTTTCTTGGATGGAAGATTCAAGGCCCTCCGGGCTCTAGATGTTCTAGTGAGAGATCGGTGGAGCTGGCAGCATACAAACTAGAGGACATGGCTAACACCTAGTATGAGATTATATTGCTAAGTCGACCTACTAGGGCAGCACCACTGAAATGGGATGAGTTCACTAAGTTGTTCATGGATAATTTCCTTCCTAACATTTAGAGGCAGAAGTATGCACCTCAGTTTGAGAGGTTGGTACAGACTCCAGATATGGATGTGGCAACTAATAACGCCAAATTTTGTAAGCTCGCTAGATATGCTCCTTTGTTGTTACCCACTGAAGCAGATATAGTTCAGAGGTTCATGCATGGGTTGGTTGGTCGTATATTCAATGCCCTAACCCCATATATGAGTACCATGACTTATTCAGAAGCAATTAATCTAGTTAGAAAGATTGAAGACAAAGGTCGAGAAAAGCCTACAACCTATGATGTACGTAAGAAGGCCAAGATAGGGGGATCTTACAACGGCGACTTGGGTGCAAATCACAAAACAGGGAATCAGGGAAGACAACAGGGCTCTCAGATAGGGATGGATACAGTTTCACAGTCCACATACAAGCAACATCACCGACAGGGTATTCAAGGACAATCATCACAGGGACATCGTAATTCTAGACAAATGTATGCCACTGCTCCATCCTGCCAGACTTGTGGTAAATCACATGTAGGTCAGTGTCGTGTTGTCACCAGAGGGTGCTTTTATTGTTGTCAGTTAGGGCATCACATTAGG